TTAAAACAATTGGATCTTTATATTCTTTATATTTATTTTATCATAGATTTCTTATTTGCAACGATTTGATCTATTTAAACATGATATTTAATTAATTATAATAAATAAATGAACTTGCGATAACACTTATACACGACCCTTTTAAACTTATTCTTATTAAAACAATTAAAAAATTAATCATTATTATCGTATTCGTATAAAATGAACGATTTAATCTTAACTATTATGATCAACGAGTATTCAATAATTATTTTTATATCAATGTTTCATTATTTTTTGATTAAAAATAAAAGTATTAATAATTTCTAACAAACAATTATTCACATGTTTTTATTCAACGCGAATTGCATTCGTTGGACGCATATATGCGCTCGTATCACTCAGAAGGTGTTAAACAATATGTGATTCGAATTAAATTCGATAATCTAGTAGGAATACGAGATATTTTATTCAAACAAAATGTTAAACAAACGTGTACGATGTAATATTCGATACAAAGTGACAATATTCGTGTGTGTGTGTGTGTGTTTAATACATTTGTTTAATATCATTGATAAATGATTTGAAAATTATTTCGGATTGATCGATAATGAATACACTCGTGATTTATTTTAATTAATTAGAATAAAATTATTGACCTATCTGTATCAAAGAAACAAAAAAAGGGTACTTTTTGTTTGTTTGATGTAACTTTTAACATTATTTCCACAACCCTCCTCTCGATGTGTTCCAATTACGATAGAGACACTGATGTTTACCGTTATTAGGGTGAAATCTCTCTCTCTCTCTCTCTCTCTCTCTCTCTCTCTCTCTCTTTCTCACTATGTTGGTGATATACTCAACGTCGTAATAACGTGCTCGATCTGACGATAATTTCTATTCACGGCGACCCTAATTGCCTGGAAAACGGCGACACGACCCTCGTCGTCGTCTGCTAGTCCCAGTGACACGTCGAACTATCGGTGCTTTCTCTTCTTCTTATTCTTCTTTTTTTTTTATACCTTTTATTCTTTTTTTTGAACTATCTCTTCTTATTCGTCGAAATGATGGTATAAATCGTTCTTCGTGATTTCCAATGTATTTATATTATTTATATTAAAAAATAAAAGGGTTGTCAAGGTTGTCTTTTACGAGATTTTTGTAAAGCGGTTATTATTATTATTTATTATTAATTATGTTAGTAATTGTCTTCGAAAATAATACACGATTCTTTTCATAGTATTCCTTTTAATATTATAATCATTTTATTTTTGTTANCGATATCAACCTTTAAAATATAACTGTCATACTTAAAGTAATAATCTATAATATATTACATAAATAAAATTAAATAAAATATTTAATATTTAATAAAAAAAAAGAAGAAAAAAAGTAAATTCTCGACGATACTAATATCATTAAAAATAAAATCAAATAAAGAACATAAAAACTCGTGAATATATATTAGGATTAGTACCAAAACTTTCGTACACTTTTATTTAACAATTCACACGCATATACAAAAATAATTGTATCTATTTCCAAAAAAATTAACATACAAATAATCTAAAACAACCACAACGAGAACTTACGAATTTTTGATTCACCTTAATAAAAATGTTTAGTAAATACAAAACATTAGAATGAATCGTGTAATTGTAACAAACACGTGCACATCTAACAACACAATAGTGTATACGTAATTAGGTTAATATTTAAATGTGTGTTAATGTATAGAAACGGTCTTACAAGGTTGTACTTTTCCAAAAGCACAGTGTCCGACGGTTTGTTTCCTCGTCATTATTTCTCTCTTCCTATGGGTGCCATATGTGAATCATGATCATCATCTAGCACACGCGT